TACAGGGTATGCAGATAACAAGCAGTGTGCTCAACGCTGGCTCCAGCACTCTCTCTCTCTCCATCTCCCCTCACTTCCACTCGCTCTCTCGCTATCCCGCTCTGGCCACTTGTTATTTTGTTCGGTGCAAAGTATAAATGAAGTTTTTGCTGTTGTTCCCATTTCTGCGATTTCTTCTTCTGCCCTCCCATTGCATGCCTTGATGTAAAGTTCAGTTTCAGTTTCGCTTTTCTCTTATTTTATTTTCATTTTTTCGTTTCCTTCTCAGCTTTTTTTGCTACTTTTTTTGTGCTTCTTTTTCATTTTGTGCTCATAGTTTTCTGTCCGCGCCAAAAAGGCAAAAACCGAGCAACAGTAAAACGAAATTTTTTTAATGTTTTTTTTACCGTTTTTTTTGTACTTTTTTGCCTTGACGTTGGGACAATGTTGAGCAGGGGCTAGGGTGGAGCATAAGAGGCAAAGGACTAAGAGCTGCAGCGCAAACGGTCAGGTCGTTTGTCTGTGTGTGTGAGGGGGCGTGGCAGGGCAATGAGAAAGGGGGTGGAGTGGGGGGTAAGAGGAGGTAAATAAATTAAATGCTTTTTGCTCAACTTTATTTTCCAGGCGATGTTTGCCTTGTTTTTAATATTTTCTTTGCCAGCTTTATATTAACTATATACACATGTAACTATGTATATATTTATGTATGTGTGCACGTATATAATATATGTAGGTATATGGTTTTTGTATCCATACACTATACATATGTATGTGTTCGATCCGTTAGCTAGCTATTCATGTCTGTATATCAGTTCATTAAATCATTTCTAATGTGATTCAAGCTTAACATCCCTTGTGAACCAGTTTGAAAAAATTAAGGAACCTAGATATTTGAACTAGTTAGCAACGTGATGTGAACCGATTGGAACTTGATGTGTTCTGAACTGAATTCACTGTTTTCGAACAATTTATGTATCTGAAGTCCTTCAGATTATTTAAGCTTCTCAAATAATTATCGTTAAAGTTCTATACAAAAAACTATGTATGTCCCACTAATCAAATTTCAGAAATATAATTAAAGAAAAAAATGATTTAAAAAAAAAGAAAATTAATTATAAAAGCACAAATTCAATTCCTGAATGCAAACAAATTTATTGTTTCGCAATAATAAAATTTATAATTAAATGAAAAATAAATCAAATGGAATCAAAACATTGCTACGTATTGTAAATGCATTAAAACATATTTATGTACATGCCTATATAATATATATTTAATAATAATAATAATAAAAAACTACTCATAAAGCAGGCAATGCAAATACGTATAAATTTAAAGAAAACCCATTAAAACGAAGAAAATATATTTAAAAAAACTGAATAAACATATATTATGTAAATATTAGTGTATATAGAGACTGTCAAATACCCTATACATCACTGCAAATAACAAAGAAAATAAGTAATAATATAACTCTATATATATATATATATATTTTTTTTTTATATATGAATATATATAATAATTATTATATATTATTAACTATTTTGAGTGGGAATACCCCTAAACATAGTCAAGTATTCCAAATGTTCAAAAGAGAATTTAGAGAGTAACTCCAGAAACTAATACTAGTTATATGAGTATAGTTATTGTTAATGATTTGAAACTACCAAAACCAGCTTTTGGGAGTATCTCCAAACTATCTAGTTATATGTTATAGTAGTAATTCATATACGTATACTATTATTTGCATTTATAATTAAATATGTCAATGGGAATTTCCATTTCCGTTTTCCACTTCTTTCATTTCATTATTGAGTTCAGATTCTGGTAAGGTAAAAACCTAATGGTAGAAGTGTATATGCCCCAAATCGGTTAGTTATATATGTCTACAGAGTATACAAATAGTAAGCGACCACAAAACCTTCTCTGATTCATAACTTAGAATAACATTCGTTTTTTTTCTACTTTATTTGCTCGATGTGAGCTTTTAATTTTTTTTATTTTCACTCAAATTTAACTGAATTTAGATATTGATTATATATATAAGTATATAAGTTTACTTGTATATGTAATTTATTTAATACAGTTTGCCACACACACATGGGGAGAAATATCTGCCTAATTTATATCGTTTTTCGTTCTTTCCTTTAGATAGACCATCTTAAAGAGGCGCCCCCTGTCGACCGATAGCAGCGACGAATCGCTTCAGTTCAGCCAAGAGGTAGAGGGGCAGAGCACTGCGAGTGTGGGCGGGCGCAGGAGTTGGGCGGGTGTTGGACGTTCACAGCGTATGTTTTGTTGTTGTTGTTCCTCAATTTCTTTTCTTTTGATTTTCTTCAGTTTTTTCTCTATTCGATTTCTATTGTTCGGTTCGTTTCTATTCAACGGATATGCTCGTACATGCTTTTTATCTGTGAAGGCGCAGCGACTTTGATTTTAGCTTTTGCTCCACTATTATTCTTTCTGCGCTTCTACTTCCGTCATTTTCTCTCGTTTTTGAGTTTTTTTTTGCCTTCATACCCAGTAGTTGATTTAGATTACAAGTGTCTATATGTGTGCGGGTGTGTGTGTGTGAACCGAACCGATTCGCATCTACTTTTAACTACATACTACAGTTCTATATACTACATACTACAATTCTATAAGCAAACTACATATTCGAACTTTTTGAACTTTTTGTATGCACACATATGACTCCAGTAAGTTAGGGTATTTGCTAGTCGACACCATTTTGTTGCACGCCTATGCTTTTTTTGCCTTGAGTTATCAGTAAAAAAAATTTGCCTAACATGTTTCTTTTTTTTTCAGCTTTTTTTTATTATTGTGTTTTCTTTTTACGAGAGTTCCCATATACTTTATATATACATAAATATTTATATACATATATATATGTACATATATATATATATATATATCTTTTTGTAATATATACATTTATTGTTCTGTACGATTCGTTCGCATTTGTTTTGCTGTTGACTATTTTTTTTCTTGTTCTCCTTTTCCCCCACCATTTTGTTGTCTCCACTTACATTTTTTTTATTTTTATTTTTATTTTTTTAATTATAAATAAGTGCTGATATCAGCGAAGCGGAGAGAGGGCGAACGAGAGTGTCACTCTCCCTCTCCCTCTCGTCAGAGTTTAAAGAAATAAAATAAAAAAAAACAAAAACAAAAATATAATAACAAAAATATATATATTTCTAGCAAAAAGAAAAAGACCGATACGCAGCAAAATTGCTGCGAAAATCCCAAAAAATAAAAACACTTCGGGGGAATCTACATTTTTTTATTTATGAGTATATGTATATGTGCGTGTATGTATGTATGCATGTATGTACATGTCTACATGGGCATGTACATAATAGAATCTCTGGCGTTTACGTGGTATCATAAATTTTATAGCTCAAACAAATATGATACCCAAGATTTCGTACATATGTTTGCTAAAGGAAAACGATTAATAAACAAAACTATTATTTACTTGCATTATAACAAAAGCACAACTACAATAAAAACACCAACAACTTCCAATTAGCCCAATATGAAGCAATAAGTATTTTTCATCCATTTCTCTACTATATCAAAAATATAAACAAGTTATTTTCCTTCCTTTAGCTTCCCACACAGCCCATACAAGGTGTGTTTATCAAAGGTGTATATTTGCTGCTTGCTTATTTATGCATAATTCGGCTTAATTTTCGCTTAAACACTTGTTGGGCTCTGTTTTAACAAATGTGGCCAAAGTTTAGCCAAATTTGGCAACAACAACAAACGCTTGTCCATGACCATGGCGTTTGTTGTTATTGTGTTTGGTCCAACTCTAACTCCGCTTGCCCTCTCTCTCCTTCTCCCTGGCACACACACACGCTTTGTCTAACGGCGTTTTGTTGTTGCCATTTGAGCTTCGGATGAACTTGAAATTTGGAGAGTCAACAGCATGTAATTGAAATGTGTGCGAGTAAAGCACGGTCACACACACAGCTAAAACTCTCCCACACACACAAGCACACATATACAGAAAGAGCGGCTTGCACTCGAAATTGCGTTTGCCGCGACGTCAACGCGGACACTGTAACGCCGCGCATACGAATGTCGTTATGAAAACAAAAAAAACTAATAAAGCAGCGGACAAAAACAAACAGCCAACTGACAACAGCAGCGGCAGTGGCAGAGGCAGCAGCAGGTACGCTGGCAGCGCAGCAGCGGCAATTTGCAATTTTAATTTTGCGTGCCGTTTTTTTTTTTGTATTTTTTGTTTTGTATAATTAAAGTTAAAATTGTAAAATATACAAAAAAAAAAAAAACGAAAACGAAAGAAAAAGCAATAGCACACAAAAAAAGTCAATTGCAAATTGCTTGGCTCATTTTGTGGGCATATTTATTATTTTTTTTTTTAATTTTTTTTCTTTCTTTCGTTTGTTTGCGCGCGCTGCAAAGGCGGAAATTGGTTTTTGTCTCTTTCACGCGGCCTTTTATAATTGACAACAACAAAACACATGGCGCAAAAAAATTAATTACCAACAGTAAAAACAAAAAAAAACAAATAATGCAAACACAATTTTTAATCATTTCGTGTGAAATTAGCTTCAAAATAAAAGCTTGCATCTATATAGTTATTACTATTTTTTATATTATATATATATATATGTATATATTATATATATTATTTCTGTTTTTTTGTTAATTATTATTTATGTCAATTTAAACTTAAACAAGAAACAACAACAACGTGCAGCTGGCAAAGTCAACAAACCCGGAAATTTGCCCAGCGAGCAGAACAACGGAATTTTATCGTAATAATTTTTATTTATTTCTTTCTTTCTTTTTTACAATAACAAATATTTAAAAACAAAACAACAATCGAACAGAAACCGCAAAAAACTTTTTTCTTTCTTTCTTTCAGCTAAAAATAACATTTGCACTTTTCTGTCTTTGTTATTGTTATTGTTGTTACTAATTTCGCTTTGCTTTTAACAAATAAATAATAATAATAACAGTTGTTTTCTTGAGTTTCTCACCTTTTCCTTGTTTTTGATGTTTGTTTTTGACTGCTTCTATTTGAAAACGCGCTAAAAATTCATTCATACATTTTTGTTGGCCGCGCACTTTTTTTGTTTAAAAAAAAAAAAAAACTAGCAGAAAAAAAAAACAGAATTCATATGAAAAAAAAATTGATTTGCAACGCGCGCTCTTTTTGTTTTTCTTCTTTTTGCTAAAGCGTAACGGTTAATGACGTATGCTTTTGCTTGCTTTCGCCTGTTATGTTTCGCTGCGCTGACCAAGCAACCAATCGACCAACCGACCGGCTTAACAGTTCAAAGTCAACTGAACAGTGTTGGCAGCGAGAGCATGCAGCCCTTGGCGTTCTGTTCACTGTATCGATGTGACTGGTTCGATAGCACAAAATCGAACTACGAGTCTCGACTTAAATGTCAATAGCAATGCTAATAACATCTGTAGCTAGCAGTTTTTATTGAGCTCTCAAAATTTTACGTGAATGTTCAGAAAACCGCAAACAGCTGATTTGTGAACAGTGGCTGCCTAATGGCAAGGGGCAAGTAAACAACAACATTTCATGATCTATTTGCTTATCAGAGAAACACAAAACAAAACACAATTCCAAATGCAGGTTAAAGGTTATCAACAACAGGTTCTCGCAGTAGCTAGAGACAAGCGCGCCTTGAGGCTTGCTAGTATTGATCAAGACGCTGGACGTTACATTCGAAGATATCAACGCGCAGAAGACACAACCACAACAGTAATAGCAACACAGCAGCAACAGCCACAGAAATATGCAGCATATAAAGACAGCCGCGCGCTGCCATCCATTGGCTATCAACTGTCCAGTTATAACAGCAATCCGTACATTTAACAGCTATCGGCTTACGCTCAGACCTGCCAACCTGGGCGCAGCAAATTTTGCGGCGAAAAACAAATCGCCGGTGGTAGCCACACCGGCAGCTTCAACGGCGATCAGAATCATTTCAAGTTCGATTCCGGTAAGTGTGTATGTGAAAGCAAGAAAGAGCGGAAAGCAGAAAGCTAATTAATTTATTGAGACGTGCAAATTGTTAATAACTATAGAAACAATCAGTTGGCAAGTGTGAATTGCATTCGCTGTGCAGCAACTTCGCAGTTTTTTGTGAAAATTTGTCATTTCGATCTCGTTGAGTTATTTTTCGTCTTAATCAGTCACGTTTTATACCCTTCCGAAGTGTCTTTCGATTTTGTCAGTTGAAGTGCGAGTGTATTGGTAATACTTAAAGAATATATTTGCATGCCTTGAACAGTCGAGTTGTTATATATGTATATATATATATATATATATATATATATATATATATATATATATATATATATATATAAATATTTTATATATATTATATATTATATTATATATATATAGATTATATATATATATTGTGAAGGCAAAATTATTGCAATATATATATATATATATATATATATAACAATAATTTTGACTTCACTATAAAAAAGCCCTTTTTAGCTAAACTGTTTATCAAGGACTGCAGACTGTGTGTCTAAAAGGGTATTCTGGTTTCGCCGTGCTTATTCGTTAATTTTACTTTTGGCTGCGCGTGGTCTTGTTCTCAAGTTGCGCTCGAGTCGCCTTGTTATTGTTTGGCTTCGTGCGCGTTTAATCTCAAGCTGTGCTCGAGTCAACCTGTTGCTGTTTGGCTTCGTGCTAGTTCAATTTTGAAGCGTCCAATTTGTTGTTTATTCGAAATATCAAATTATAAATTATTGCAGTTGGCAACAGGCGTCAAGACAAGGCCCCACCCATGCGATTCTTATTGTTGTTGTCCGTCGCCCTCCATTAACGCCTGTCATTGAAACATATAAAACTCAATTTGAATGCAGTTTGTATATGTCTATATAAGAATATGTATCTTGAGCCCATTGCATATTGAATCTTAGAGTAAATATATATATCTATATTTTATATATATATATATATATATATATATATATATATGAAATCTCACAGCAAGCGAACCTTTGATTATTTCTCTGCTAAAAGCTGTGTTTACATTTTGCCGTAAACAAGATTATTTTTACGATATATACAATATTGGGAGCATGCAGACAGATAGCAGTTGAAGATATTTGCTGAAAGTTCAACAGTTGCATGCAGATCTTATGCTTGCAGCAAACGGGATCGGTTCAGCCTGAGAATGAGGCCCAAAACTTTGGAGAAACTTGAAGCAAAAATTGTATATTTGCTTTAGAATTATTTTTCTGGCAATCATTCAAAGAATTTTTCTAGCTAAAATAGAAAAAATCGAAATTATAATTCAGAAATTCCGTGAATTGTGTATAATATAGCTATAAACAAGTCGCATTGAGTGAACAACAGAATTTCTGCGAGGAATCCGTTTTCACAAATTGTTTTTCGCTTAAGTTTCTAGAAAAGTGCAAAGACTTTTCCAGCTCTCCAGGCCTTGGTGTTCAGCTCGACGATAACGAGCTGGCATATTATTCCCCTGACGTATGTTGTTTTTCCGTCTTATCGGCGGACCAATTTGAACCTGTGACACTTGGCGAGGCGATGAGCGCGACGTAAATAGCTGCAAATAGACGCACAACGGGGGGTCCATATAAAAATGGTATGCTGCTCCATGAGCTGACCTCCGTACCTGCCTTGGCAGCACACGCCAGCCCAAAAGACCTATATATCAGCTCGAAAACCTTAATCTTATCAGCCAAAAGTCAGGAAACCAATTGGGCACCCTAGACGAAAAGTGTAAGTGGGCATATTGGGCGTGGTCTGTTTTCGCCAAAACGGATACAGATTTCGTAACGTTCCTGAACTCTGCCCCTTGCAATATCTAATCTTGAAGTTGACTTCTCCGATAATCGAAACATCCGAGCTGTCTCTTCTGCAAGCACTGAATGTATTTCAAAGGCAGTTGCAAAGCCCCGGCATAGCTCTCTGAACGACCAGAGAACCTTTTACTGTCAAGCGGACCTTCAAGGTAAATCTCTCTCTCATCCTGTGTCCAGGTGCATCCCTTGCCATTTCGGCCTAGTCACAGATGTCTTTGCAGGTTTGCTCTATCAGCTAGACAAAGTGATCTTGCATTTAGGCAGCTGATAACGCCTTAAGATCGAGATCGAGATCCAACACTATGTCCAAGGTCACAGTTTGAAAGTCACTGACTTGAATAGATCACATCACTATGCGGTGATCGGGCACATTTAGCTTGCTTTGCCTTATCTCTGCACACCCATTTCTATACATATATATATATATATATAATATGAATATGTGAAAGAAATAAAAAATTCCAATGTTTTTTGAACCCATTGAACCGATGGCTGGCAAAATATAAATATTTGCGGCGATCGCTCGTTTAGTCATAAAGAGCGCGCCATCAATGCGTTTGCAATTCATTGCAGTCTCGATCGTTACCACGATCGGTACAGATTTCTAGAGTATTATATTACCCATGTCTCGACAGAAAATGGCAGACCAAAAGATGTTGCAGTCAACGCTGAAGCAGAGCGATCCGGAGCTGGCCGAGATCATAGTAAAGGAGAAACAGCGTCAGAAGGAGAGCCTCGAGATGATTGCCAGCGAAAACTTCACTTCGTTGGCTGTACTGGAGAGCTTGGGCTCCTGCCTGACCAACAAATATTCCGAGGGCTATCCGGGCAAGCGGTAAGATCAATCACAAATATTACATAAAAACTAGATCAAATGAAAGCTTTAAGTAACTCAAGTGCAGCCAAAGCTTATTTGAAGTCGGTTTAAATTTGAATCAGGCTTAAGTGTGATTAAAAGAGCTTTTACTTAACGCAACTTCAAACTCAGATAATCCTGGAACTCTTTAAACTTACTTCGAATTATGAAGCTTCCATAAAAGCTTAAAGTTAAGCTACTATGCAATAATTCCTTGGCTATGCAGTAAGTCGAAAACGTTTTGAAAGCAAATTAACACTTATTCCTTTTAAAGATAACTTTTTCCTTATATTTTCAAGTTCAAGAACACTTAAAGCTTACATCGAAGCATGCAGGCTCATTAAAAGCGTTCCAAGCTTTCTGAAAGCTAATGCACACTTAATCCTTTTAGAGCTTTGACTATTTTCATCATGCACACTTAAAAGCTCAATCAAAGCTACTTTAAGCTCTTCTCACATATCTAAGGCTTCTTTTTACCATCAAAGCTTGCCTTAGAACAAAATATAGAAGCTTCTTGAATACAATAAAAGGCTTCTTCGACTTTAAAAGCGCCTCTTGAAATATTTTGGATCGTCTTCAGTTATAGATAGACTTAGTTCTATATTTTATTGCCAGAGTTTGAAGATTGTTGATTAATTTGCTTGAGCAAGATTAATCTAAAGCTTAACTGAATGTCATCTCTCCAATCTCACTCTTCCTCTCCTCTCTCTCTCTCTCCATTGACAGCTATTATGGCGGTAATCAGTTTATTGATCAGATTGAGTGCTTGGCGCAGACACGTGGACTTGAACTTTTCAATCTCAGCAACACTGAGTGGGGCGTCAATGTGCAGCCGTATTCTGGGTCGCCGGCCAACCTGGCTGTCTACACGGGCGTATTGCGTCCACACGATCGTATTATGGGCCTGGATCTGCCCGATGGCGGCCATTTGACGCACGGCTTCTTCACGCCCAACAAGAAAATCTCGGCCACATCCATCTTCTTTGAGAGCATGCCGTACAAGGTAAATCCGGAGACGGGTCTGATCGACTACGACAAGCTGGCAGAGGCGGCGCGCTCGTTCCGGCCTCAAATCATCATTGCTGGCATCTCGTGCTATTCCCGGCTGCTCGATTACGGACGATTCCGTAAGATCTGCGACGAAGTCGGCGCCTATTTGATGGCCGATATGGCGCACGTGGCTGGCTTGGTTGCCGCCGAGCAGATACCGTCGCCATTCGAGTTCGCCGACATTGTGACCACAACGACGCACAAGACGCTGCGCGGCCCGCGCGCTGGCGTCATCTTCTTCCGCAAGGGCGTGCGCAGCACCAAGGCCAACGGCGACAAGGTGATGTACGATCTGGAAGACCGCATCAATCAGTCTGTCTTCCCAGCTCTGCAGGGTGGCCCGCACAACAATGCCATTGCTGGCATTGCCACGGCCTTCAAGCAGGCCAAATCGCCGGAATTCAAGGGCTACCAGACGCAGATCATCAAGAATGCCAAGGCACTGTGCAAGGGTCTTATTGATCTGGGCTATAAGGTGGCCACCGGCGGCACCGATGTTCATCTCGTGCTGGTCGATGTGCGCAAAACGGGTATGACCGGCTACAAGGCCGAGCTGGTGCTCGAGGAGGTGGGCATTGCGTGTAACAAGAACACGGTGCCTGGCGACAAGTCCGCCATGAATCCGTCCGGCATACGTCTGGGCACTCCAGCTCTGACCACACGCGGACTTCTCGAAAAGGATATCGAGCAAGTGGTTGCCTTTATCGATGCCGCGCTTAAGATCGGCTCCGAGGCAGCAAAGGCAGCGCCCAGTCCCAAAATGGCCGACTTTGCCCAGACATTGGCCGAGAACGCCGGCATCAAACAGCAGCTGGAGGAGCTCCACAAATGCGTCATCAAATTTAGCACAACCTTCCCCCTGCCCGGCCATGATCTTCTCTAATTTGCAAGCAAAAGCCAAATCAAAACCAATTTCTTTGCATGCGCGGCAAAATGTTTCCAAATCCTAAATCTTTTATATCTTATCATGTATAGACGCAACACTGATTAAGATATTAAAAATCAAGAAAATTTTTTTTTACACATTTCGTAACATTTTCTATAAATCGCAAACTGGTTTTTGCTCTTTGTTTTCTTTTAGTTGTTTTTGTGGTCCATAAAGAGTTCCTTAACTAACATCTAGCTATATATATATATATATATGAATGAAGTCTTGCCAATTTCTTTATACTAAATTTAATAGTAAATTAAGAAAAAACTGAAATACTGTTCCGAATGCCGATCTGTCTGTATAATCTAGTGTTGCCTTTGAAACGCATGGAAATGAAATTGATTTGCTTTTACATATTAAAAAGAATGTAAATAAAATGTTTGAAACAAGTGGAAATGAAACGTATTTGTTAGAAAATTAAATCGATTTGGATTTGCATTTGAAAATAAAATATTACTTTAAATTGATCTATTTGTGTCTGTTTTTGAAACGGTTGGGAATGAGATTGAAATAAAATAAATTAAAATTGATTTACATTTGTCTTTGCTTGTGGAACAAATGGATTTGTATGATTGAAACGAGTGGAATTGAGACTCATGTGGATACCATAATTGATCATTTTGCTTTTGCTCTTGAAACGAATGGAAATAAAATTTATTCGCTTTTGAGTCGCATTGAAATAAAATTGATTTGTATTTATATTTGAAAATGAAATGGAACTGAGAACTTATCTGTGCCTTCAAAACGAATGGAAATGAAACATACGGAATTACTTTTGCCTTTGTTATGAAACGTATGAAAATGGGAATTGTTGAAAAGTTAATTTGCCTTTGAAACGAATGGAAATGCAATTGATTTAAGTTAAGGCAGGGCAACTCCTTTGATTTGTAGGCTAAAAATTTGGAAATTTCAGAAAATTAGACAAAATTAGTATTTACAATGGCTAGATGATCCAGTTATCTAGATAAAATTCAGGAATATGATAAATCTTAATTTGTTGCATACAAAATAGATCTTAACTAAATATATTTATATATATATAAATTTATATATATTACAGATCTCGCGCTCTCTCTCTCTCTCTCTCTCTCTCTCTCTCTCTCTCTCTCTCTCTCTGTCTTCCCCATGAGCTTAGCTTAGCTACTGATCCGCAAACTCGATTTTGGTCAGCTCCTTGCTGCTGCGCGCATCACGATGAAAGCGCGAATTGTGCGTGGACAGGGACCATTTGGTCTTGAAGTTCTTCATGCATATGAAGCACTCGTACTCCTTACTCTGGATCTCCGAGTGCCGCGAGGCAATGTGCCGCCTCAGTGCATTCATCGACTGCAGCCGCCGCTTGCAGAAGCTGCAGATGAGCGCAACTCCCGCGGGCGAGCTGTCCTCCACGGTGGCCACAGCTGCAACAATTCAAAGTGCATTCAAAATAAATTAAAGCTTTACAATATTTGTGCAAATTAACAGTAACAACAAGACAAAAAATGAGAGTGTGGCCTTTAAGCTGGAAATACGTATGGTTCTTGGCTTTTATTGTGTATATTTCATTTGTGATTCTCGCAAGAATTTCCTATTTCGTTTTTTGCTCTTTGCTTATCAAAAGGAGACGAAAATTTTAATTTCATTTCATATATATATATACATATATATATATATATATATTTACTTATATACATGCATATTTGGTTCGCTTCACATTTTACTTCTATTTCATTACACGAGATACGAAAATTTCAAATGTTTTGCAAAATTTGTTTTTGGTTTTTAAATAGAAATGGTTTGCTACCCTTGCAGAGGCAGTTGGTATAAAATTTTATCTTTACTATTTTTTTTTTCATTGAATTCTCAACTCTAGTGGCTGTCAAACTGTTGTTCCATTCCATTCTGTTGCAGTTCAAGTTGTCGGGGCGTGGCGGCAACGTGCAAGTGTTTCATACCGCAAGCAAGCGAAAGCTAGATGCAAGTTAGGACGCATTCCATTCCGTTTCGTTCCAAACTTGAGTTTGGTACTAGTCAGTCTGCTTGGTAGCTGAGCGTCAGTGCGCGTATCTAGAGTGTTTCATTTCACAGCGTTTCAGTTATTAGCTGCTCAGCTTTCGCTATCTTGGCGTATGTTTCATTTCCATTTGGTTCCACTTTCATATTTGCCCACACAAAACTAAGCTAAGGTGTCTTCTACACATGTAAGGTACAAAACGACTGTTCCATTCCGTTGCATTTCCAATTTTAAAGCTTAACTGACACAGCTGTAGCTGTCATTCATAAGATATTGTAAAAAACGTCTTTCTCGTATAAAAAAACTACAATGAATTTGATATTTTTCTATGAACTTGAAATATAGCATATATATATATATATATATATATATATATCCTATACTATTTATATATATACTATATATTTATCGTATGACTGGCAATTCACGTGAATGCAATTCTGCAAGGGTACATAGACTTCGGCTAGCCGAAGTGAGCCACTCCCAGGTGGCGCTTCCAATATATCTCTCTTTGCTCTATATATAATATATGATCTGACATCAAAAATTTGTTGTAATCGATACGATATATACATACATATATATATATATATATATATATATATATATATATATATATATATATATATATATATATATATATATATATATATATATATATATATATATATATATATATATCTATATATATATCTATATATAATACGCATGTGCTCTTCATTTAACATTTAGCCTTTCAATTAACTAAGAGTACATATATATATCGATATATATACATATATATATATATATATATATATATATATATATATATATATATTAATCTTTATCTTTATCTTTAGCATGTGTGTGGGAATTTGATTTTCAATTAACTATTTTTTGTTATTTTCGCGTTCGATATTTGTATTTAAATACGTTACATAGTATAAAAGAAACTAGAATATACAATGAATATATATATATATATATATATATATATAGGTATATATATATATATACATATATACATGTGAATTATATTTTTCCCTTCATTTGTACAAGTTGAGCAAAAAACATAAATTTATATATATATATATATAAATTTATATATATATATATATATATATATATATATATATATATATATAACATATATGTTGACTGTGGGTGCTTGGGAACTGTCAGCCTGCTCTGGCTTTGGTTCGGGCGCTCTAGAAATTATATAGTATATATAAGCTTAGTCTACGCGCTATATACGTATGTACAGTTATGTGACTTTACTTGGCTAACTAATTAACTAAAATACATAAATAAATTTCAATGTTATAGACTTGCTTCAATGTATCAGGAATATATATATATATAAATATATCTGCATATACCATTTGGTATAGCCAAAACATGCTGAGAGATATTAAGACATAAATATATATCAAATTATATATAGTATATACATAGCTAAGACAGATCTGCTGCCGCACTTTATATATATATATGTTTCTATATAACGCAGATCGCATCTCGTAATTTTGCTTTAACTTTAGGTCTTATGCTAAACAACTTGGACAAAGTAAGTGCTAATGACTGGAAAAGTGTTTAAACATTATATTTTTGCGTTTGCCTCTGCTTCTTCTTTAAGTCGTTATCGTTATCGATTTTGGTGCCACAAATGTCTTTCACTTTAGCATTTGCTTTTCTAATGGACGAAATTTTCTATCTCTCTCTCTCTCTCTCGCTCTTTGCCTGCCTCTGTCTCTTTCTGTGTCGTGCGGCTGTTCAATTGACGCCATGCTGCACCTGAAAGATCGTCCATCAGTTCTCCGTTTTAATGGCCACCTTCTGCTCGTGGGAGATGCGTATGTGCTCGCGCAGGCTGTATTTGTTTTTGAAATTCTTATTGCAGAGATCGCATTTGCGCGGCGGTTGGGGCGTGTGTTGGGTGCGAATATGTCTCCAAAGATTCACCGTGGTAATAACCATTTTGCAAAACTGACATTCTGTCCATTTATTATTGGGTGAATCTAAAAATATACAGAAAAATAGGACACAATTAGGACAATTTGCTTGCGACTTGCCACTTTTCATTTCGATACTCTCTCAGTCTTATTTGTTCTACTATATTTTCTGTTTTATTTTTCCCCTGCTCGACACACACAAATTTATATAAACATATAGACAAGCACTTTGGAGACATATTCGACGCCAAGATAAGAAAAAGAAGAAGACAAATATAAACACAATAGAATAAGCATGTTAGCAACAATAAAGAAATTTATAATCATGTTTCACACACACTCCACGTCCAGCACCAGCCAGAGCAAACATTTACTATATATATATATACATGTTTAATTAAATTAACTAAATAAAAGTAACGAAATTATAGTAGTTAAGCTAAAATATAAAAACATAAAACATGCGAAAGAATACTCAAGGAACTTCACTAAGTCCTTGGAGACTTGAGACTTAAACTAGTTGAGAATCATAAGCATTCTATTTATAGAACTGCAATTAGTGTTGGCTGATACTGAAAGAATGTGGACATTCCTTAGCTATTGTTAGCTATATTATTAGGTTAAACACTTACAGTCTTAAGATATTGTATTATTTCTCAACTCTCAGACTCATTGTGAATATAATAGATCTTACTTCACGAATTTATTAACTAAAGATATAGATAAAGATGTAGAATTGTAGAGACTTTCTCTAACTGGTTTACAAGGGCACAAAGATCTGCTATATACATATATATATATAACTTGGATCTCCAGTCTTTAGTCTTGAGACATTTTTAGTGAGCTTACCATTCGTGCCGCTGGCTTTGCTGTCCGTTTTCACAGGCGTCACGGAGACGGTGGTTGTGGCACCTGACGTCGGGGCACTTGGATCCTCGAGCACCGCCTGGGCGGTGGCTGTGGCCGTCGCGCCGCTCTCAGTGCCCAGCAGGCGAGCTGCAAGCAAACGAGTTTGACTTTAGTTTTAATGCACATCAAATTTATTATATATATGCTATGGCACGGCCACTCACTCATCTCGATGGCGATATCTGCATTGTCGGGATCCGCTTGATACTTCTCCTCGATTTCGGACTCGGTCAGAATCTCGTATTCGGATGAGTATTGGGCGACAGTCTGTGCAGCCGCTGTCGTTGCGTCCTGGGACGTTTGCGGCGTCGCGCCATCTGACAGTCGATCGTCCACCTCGCTAACTATATAATCGGGTATATCCATTTTAACGGCGCCGCGCAAAAATGTCATCTCCGCAGCTGCAAGCAAATTGTAAGTACAATCAATTAGAACGGATTCAATCAGCAGGCATTAGCTGTGGACTACGATAGACATAGAGTTTGAGGCTTCGACTTGCACTAGATTGTTATCGAGTTTAACAGGTATAAAGCTATAGATAAGGTGCTACTAACTATTGAGATGGAAATTGTAGTTAACAAATTGGCTTATCTTCTCGGCACACAACTTCTATTCTATTGACGAACTTAGGCTTAGCTTGAGTCTTCCAATAGCCTTAGATTAAGGCTAATGCAAACTTTCTAGCTTTAAATCTGAGCTGTACAGACATCGATGCATGCTATGCTCGCAGATATATGTGATAGGAATCTGATTCGACAGACAATAATAGTCAATACATTGAGTTAAGTTGAAGACAGTTACTGACTGGCTGAGTATATTTACTATGTACACCTTATGCATATGCCAGCTAATTGATTTGTCCAGGTAGTTCCATGGCTTTGCTTACTTTTCACAATGGTCTGTTCGTCCTTGACGGCATAGTCGACCGTTTCGGTGGTGTAGATGTTGTCATCATCATCGGAGAAGGTGATCTTTCGTTTCTTAACGGTATTCGCTGCTGGCAGCGACACCGTGTTGGTGATAGTTAGGTGCTGCGCCTGCGCTGCAGCCTGCTGCTGCTGCTGCTGTTGCTGCTGCTGCTGCTGCTGCTGTTGCTGTTGTTGCTGAGGCGGCGCTGCCTGAACTTGAATGTGCTGTATCTGGGTGCTTTGTACATGATGATGCTGCTGCTGTTGCTGCTGTTGTTGCTGCTGTTGCTGTTGGGTTTGCTGCACCTGCAGTTGAGCAGCCGCAACAGCAGCCACCTGCGTTTGTACTTGCGTTGCCGTTGCCGTTGCCTGCAACAGCGTGGCCGTTGGTATTTCGATCGTTTGGGTATTGCCTGCAACAGTCACCTGCTGCTGCTGCTGCTGCTGTTGATGTTGCTGCTGCTGTTGATGTTGTTGCTGTTGTTGATGTTGCTGCTGCTGCTGCTGCTGCTGCTGTTCATTGACGGCGCGTATTGTGCTGGGTATCGTTTTGATGAGCTTATGTTCGCTAATGAGCGGGACCACCGGCATTTGCGGCTTCTCCTTCTCTTCGGCTGTGAGGCCCTGTACGGCGAGCAGCTCGGCAGTTTGTAGAAAGGATTGCAGCGCCTCTTGCTGCACGTTCACCTCGCCCTATTCAATACAAAATAAACGTTGTTCAACCAAAGGTGAGTTAATTAGCTGCCAGCCGCTTACCTGATACATAAACTCGACTATGGAATTGAGATCTTCGAATTTGATAAACTTAAATATAATGACTGGATGCGGATGTGGATTCTCTTTGAATATCTCCTTGAAGTAGGACGAGCAAGAGCTGAGCACCACTTTATGGGCCTTGATCCTGCGCCCATCCACGCACAGGCTGACATCGACAAAATCATCGTTCAGCCGATGATTGTCCAGTGAATAGGTCAAATGTCTCAAATAGTTATTCCAGCGCAACGAATATTGCTGTGTGGTGGCCATTGCTTGAAGCCGGGATCAACAACTCTGTTTTCCCCTTCGCGCAACCGAAAGACACTCAATGCGCCTGCCTCTGCCGCCGCTGCTGTCGCTGCTGCTGCCTAATCCAATTAACCCGCTGAAACTACTGCGCGTTCTCGTGTGCCCAAAACACACAAAAGAATTGTAATAATAATAATAATAAAACTAAGCAACCAAACAAACAAATAAATTTAACTAACTGTTTGCACACACTTCTGCATTTGTTGCAATGCCAATTCAAAAATGATTTGTTGTTGTTTGTGTTGCTGTTTGTTTATTTTCAGTGTATTTTAGCAGCTAATTGCGGAAAAAGACGCCAGCGCAAAACTTAAGCATTTTATTATACAGCACGCCGAATTATGCCTCTCACATTCGATTAGGCTTTACGCATTTTGACTATATTTATTTATTTATTTATTAGCGTTTTGTAGGTATTCATTTTTCAATATTTTCTCACTTTTTTTCACGGCAAAATTAGTTGCTTTTTGGCAAAGCGTATGTTATTGCGGCATTATGTTATACTCAAAATGTGCTTGCTATCGACGGGCTATCGATAACACTGCTCTGTATAATTAACAGCGGCTGCAGCTGTTAACCGGCGCACACGTACGCCAGATGGCGCCAGCTCAACTGTAGATTCAAACTCGAAAATGTTATTTGCGTTTAATGCATACAACTTTATTTTACCAAACCCATAAAATTAATAAAGAAAAAAAAAATGTTTCTAGTGAAAGTAAACAAAAAAGGCAACAAATATTCTATAGAGAATGCTGGCATTAGGGCAAGAGAACGCGCACTGCGTAACGATAAACGAGACGCAGCAAAAATCCATAAACTATGGCGCGAAGCAAATAGTCCAAAACATAGAAGATTTTGATACGAAAACGTGCCTTGCTGCTGCTATCGGGACTCTCATTGAGCAGGAACTCCTTGGCGCCGCGTATGCCATTCTGAAAGAAGTCCACATAATTGACGTTCATATGCTGAAGGAAGCCAAAGGTCGGTCTAAAACAAAGCAGCAGGAAAGTAGAAAGATTTTCGAAATTCATGTCGACTTGAAGATGCCATTGCTGTCTCACTCACACTTCATCTATGGGCACGACCTCGTGCAGAGCAAGGCAATTTGCATTTTCGAAATGCCATTCAGTGTTGGCAAATACCTTCAGAGCAGCAAAGGCGGCAAAGATGCGGCGCTGCAGCTTCAGAAGGCTGCAAGAGAGGAGAGAACGAGAGGATGAAGAAAAGGGACAGTGCAAATCACGCGGAGGATCGCGGTAAACTTACAAAGGCTTCTCATTAGACAAACGCAGTAACGTGTCCACCACAACGGCCATCATAATGTGCATTGTTATAAACTGTGCCAAAGAAAAGAGATAGAGCGATAGAGCAATAGAGGGAGAGAGAGAGGTAGAGATTGTAGACTCACCCGAACAAAATGTAGCACAGGACATAACGTAATGCTCCCACCTGGCAGCCAGAGCGTTTTCTCGAACGGATTCTGGCGTATATACCTCTTACCAATGTCTATCACATTGCCCATGGTAATGGGTGCGATACTAGCCATGGCGCAATTGATCACATCGATGGGCTTGTCTTTGGCAGGCGGCGTCTTCAAATAGTTGTAAGCGGCTATGATGAGACCGCGCACGACCACATCGGCGGGCACAAAGTCGGCCACAATGTAGGGATCACAATTTTGGGAGCGTAAGATGCCGACGCCACAAGCGACCAACATGCCGGTGGGTCCATTGAAATTGTCCGCCCAACCAGGCACGGGCTCCTCCAGCGTCGAGATGACTGCATGAGGGGTGCAGAGAGAGAGAGAGACAGATTGGGTAGCGGAGAGCGAGAGATGAGGCAAGAAGATGAGATGAGAGAGGGAGAGAGAAAAAGGAAGAGTGAGAGAGTGTGGGAGGGAGAGACAGAGTGAGGGAGAGAAAGAGAAAGAAATAGACGATGGTAAGACTCGCATGAATAAGATCTTACTTCTGTATGGAAACATTAAAAAGTCTGCCAAGTTGGAGAGTAAGCAGATTTTAGTCGAGCTTGAAAGCTTATTTCGTGTATCAAACTTTCTAGAAGTAGAACTTTCTAGATAATATTTGAAAGATGTCGAATACCCGAATACTAGATAGAATCGAACTGCTAAACTGAAATTATACTAATTGGTTCTGCCTAGCTTTCTAGAAGATTCGAATTGCATAAATAAATATGTTTCCAAATCAAAATCAGTTTTCTATAGCTCGGAACGAGCAAAGCCCAAAGTCTAAGTATTGATGGACTCTTCAAAACTTCGGCTGAAAATATTTCAGGTCTTATCAGATCATCGATGAAGCTTTTTTCTGGCCGTCCTATCCAATATCTGTTAACTATACCAAAAAGATGCTAAGATACTAAGTCCACACAACTACTGGAAGCACTTCTACACACATAAGCCGAACACCTACCGATTGAGGGCCTGAATATGAGGATGGGTAGCTGATCCTTGTAGTCATTGACCACATGCTCGGCCAGACTTTTGGTGAAGGTATACGTGTTTGGTTGAAAGTCGCTATACCTAAGGGGGTGTCAAAAGAAAGAGAGTGAGATACCATACTGATAGCTTCAGCCCAGATCGACCTACTTCATATTGAAAATATCTAAAGTTTCCCCATCGTAGGTCTCAGCTAGTTTGATTGTCGTGCGCCAATCCGCGTAGGGCGGATAGATGCGCTCCTCGACATCGATGACCGTTGGATTCGAGTAGGTTGTGGAGACGTGAATGAAGGCCTTCAGCTGTTTCCAGTGCAGAGCGAGCTTGACCAGCTCGTGCGTGCCCCGAGTGTTCAGCAAAATGGCGGAGCCCAAGGGATCATCAAAGCTGAAACGAACGGAAATATGAACTGAGCTGCAGCTAGGCCTGAGCGCTCTTCCACCTACCGCACAGAGGCAGCCGAATGATAGACCACAGTGACGTTGGATAGCTTGGCCAGATCCGTGTCGCTAATGCCCAGACCCAGCTTCATGCAGTCCCCGGCAATGGGCACAACCTTGGACACTGTTTGGGGCTGTTCGCGGCGCAGGCGCTCAAAGAGCTTCGAATTGAGCAAGTCCTCCAAACGCCGCTCGATGGGAACGCCCTTCTTCGGACGCAACAGCACATAGATCCTGCCCAGCGACGGACAAGAGCGCAAAAGTTTCTCGATCAGCGCTTTGCCAACGAACCCTTAATAAAGAAAATCGATGTCTCCGATATAAATATATATCTGGCCAGCCATATGTATAGATATAGTTGCTATAGCTTCGCCTACCCGTGCCGCCGGTCAAAAAGATTTCCTGATCCTTAAACGCAGCTGCAATCGACATTTTGTTAAGCACGAATCGAATACCAGACGAAGTCTAAAAAGCTGATCGTCAATTTCGGCTAAACAGTACCTGGACTACGTTCCCCATTATGCAAATTGCCTTCGATTGGGGCAGCGTGTCAATTTGCTGAATATTCAACTGCAGACAAGAGCAGCAAATTACAAAAGTAAAATACTTCCAACCTGGACATCTTTTTCTTACCTTCTAAAAAGTATCCATCCGCCACTGTTAGGCATGCACTTATAATCATTTATCTATTTTTTTTTTTTTTTTTTTTTTTTTTTATAATTTTAAGCAGGGGTATGCCTAAGAACTTTTACCTTCAGCTATGTTATGCACACACATAACTGGATACCAAATTCCAGATGTCTAGTTTGCATAGTTCCTAAGTTTTTAGAGTTGGTATTTTATTAGTTGTTCGATTTGCTAGCAAACTGCGCTCGGTATTTTAATATAATTTAGCTTTTATTATATATAGCTATGTGCATACCAAGTTTCAGTAGTCTCGTGTGCATAGTGGCTGAGTTACGAGAGTTGGTATTTTGTTTATGAGTGAATTCATAGTAAAGCGTTTGAATTTTTTCAAGTTTCTTAATAAAATTTCACTATTATGGCTTACGACTAGCCGTATGAAAAATTTTATGCCACTCACTCGTATAGTTATCGAGTTCCATGAGGTTAACTGTAGGACTTGTCGCTTAGATTGTGTCTGAATTCAGTCTCATAGATTTTCCACTGATTGCAGGGTATTCAAGCTTCGTTGTGGTGGAGCCGAGATGTATATAGGGGAAGTACGGTAGTGTCATCCGGTTCATGTTTAATCCAACGAATTGAATCAATAGGTATATATGTATATATATATATATATCTATACGCATCTGAATTTGCATATGTGTATGTGGTAGAACCTTTCACATAGAAATACTTAGTTTATGCAGCTAATTCTATAAATAGTGTGATACGATATCTTCAGACAAAAACAGGCTCAACTATGCTTACAACTGGTCCACAAGAAAACGGTAAATAAAATTTGATATGCTGCGATAAAAATAAAACAGAAGAATGGAAAATTACCATTTGCAGTTAAGAGTCTTCCATAGTTAGGCAAATGTGGCACAAAATCAATTTATTAAACCAAAAGCATTTAAAAAAGCAAAGCTTTCAGAACGATGCCAACAAATTGTGATAGCGGTTAGAAACGGAACTTTAATCGCAGTGAGATGGGTCCGCTCGTTCGTTTGCTTTTGTATTCATATGGAATGGTACACATTGCAAGTTTAAGGTCATTAACATAAACTCATATCTCTCCTTCTCTTCCTCTCTCTCTCTCTCTCTGTGAGCGTTCCACTGCCGACTGCATTTTGAGAGCGGGAGAACGCAACCTTAAACCAGCTGTGCGTGCATGTTGGGTAGGTTTTCAAGAGAAACGAAAGCTCGACAAGTTCGCTGACCCCCTCACACTTACAACAGAACGCTATTCTTTTCCAGCAATATGCATAGGCACTCTTACATCCATGTATGCATATATGTAAAAGAGAATACAATTTTCTTTTGCATTACACAATTTAATTAACATTTTTACGCGTAAACTTATAGTCATTCAATACGCATGCAATTAGAAAATACAAAAAAAAGTACATATACATATATCAAATTTTTGCTTATATAAAATTTCAAGGGAGTTGTGCAGCAAAAGAAGTACACAGAGCGCGCAACTGGCTGTCGGATTTACTTCCCCAGCAACTTGAACGTTCATATCAATATGTGAGTGAGTAAGCTGTGTGCGTATTAATGCATTTGCCGGCCGGCAAAGCAAGAGTTTAGAGCGAGAGCGAAAATGAGCGTAACGTTAGGCAGTCAGTGTGAGAGCAAACGTAGTTACGGGAAAAGGGGAAGTTATCAAGTGAGAGAGGGGGGAGGCATAAAGTAACAGAAAACAGAGTTGGTTAAGTTTTTTTTCCATCATATTTTTGTTTCACTTTGTTGTTTATAATTACATCATAATTAAAAAATAATACATAAGGTTGTGTTTGAAATTTTACAAAACTCTTAGTGTTGTTTTTGTGTTTTGCATATTTTGTGTGTTGTCTTTTATTTGCTTCTTTTTTTTTGAAGGGGAATATTTTAGTCGCTTATCTGCTGCTGCTTCTTCCTTGCAGGGAGTGTACGCATATGTGTTTGTGTGTATATGTGTCATGTTGTAGTTGTGGATTTTTGTTTTAGAAGTGGAATGGCATAGAGAATATGTTGTTGTTGTTCTCAATTTGTTGTTATATTAAAAGGTATATTAAAAAAAAAACAAAAAAATATTATGCATTTATCATATATCTCATGTGAAATAAATTAAATTAATGCTAGAACACAACAAGACGACGACGAAGATGATGTGTGAATATAACATAGCGTGCAGCTCCACATAGAAGTTGTTGTTGCCACTCCACTTGCTGCTCCTCCCTGTTGGTTGGTGTTGCTGCTTAGAAGCACTTGCGGTGCACAATGGATGGGCCGGACTCATCGTATTCCTGCTTGGAGATCCACATCTGCTGGAAGGTGGAAAGCGATGCCAAGATGGAACCACCGATCCATACGGAGTATTTGCGCTCTGGTGGTGCAATGATCTTGATCTTCATGGTGGATGGGGCCAAGGCGGTGATCTCCTTTTGCATACGATCAGCAATGCCTGGGTACATGGTGGTGCCACCAGACAGCACTGTGTTGGCATACAGATCCTTACGGATATCAACATCGCACTTCATGATCGAATTGTAGGTGGTCTCATGGATGCCGCATGCCTCCATACCCAAGAACGAGGGCTGGAACAGGGCCTCGGGGCAACGGAAACGCTCATTACCGATGGTAATGACCTGTCCGTCGGGAAGCTCATAAGACTTCTCCAGGGAGGAGCTAGAGGCAGCGGTGGCCATCTCCTGCTCGAAGTCGAGAGCAACATAGCAGAGCTTCTCCTTGATGTCACGAACAATTTCACGCTCGGCAGTGGTGGTGAAAGAGTAGCCACGCTCAGTGAGGATCTTCATCAAATAATCGGTCAAATCGCGACCAGCCAAATCCAGACGGAGAATGGCATGGGGCAGGGCATAACCCTCATAGATGGGCACAGTGTGGGAGACACCATCACCAGAATCGAGGACAATACCAGTGGTACGACCGGAAGCATAGAGCGAAAGCACCGCCTGGATGGCCACATACATGGCGGGTGTGTTGAAGGTCTCAAACATGATCTGTGTCATCTTCTCGCGATTGGCCTTGGGGTTGAGGGGAGCTTCGGTCAAGAGCACGGGGTGCTCCTCGGGAGCCACACGCAGCTCATTGTAGAAGGTGTGATGCCAGATCTTCTCCATATCATCCCAGTTGGTCACAATACCGTGCTCAATGGGGTACTTCAGGGTGAGGATACCACGTTTGCTCTGTGCCTCATCACCCACATACGAGTCCTTTTGGCCCATACCGACCATCACGCCCTGATGACGTGGACGGCCCACAATCGATGGGAAGACAGCGCGGGGCGCATCATCGCCAGCGAAGCCAGCCTTGCACATGCCGGAGCCATTGTCGACAACCAATGCAGCAACTTCTTCGTCACACATTTTGTAAGCTAGAAAAAACACACAAGAAAAAAATTAATCAAAATGGCCACCATTTAACACACTCTCTATACATAAAAAAGAGAGCGAGTGTATCTGTGTGTGTGTATCTGCATTTGCTCTCTTTGAGCTGAGGGGCAACACCCTGCACATAAATCAACAACTTGACAAAAAGCTCGAGAGTATATCACCACGGCATATGCCGGTGCCAAGCAAGTGGCCAAAGGAGAGAGCCGCTCTCGTCTGAGCATGCATGTGTGTGTGTATACGTAGTCGCATAAAATGGCCGCCATTTGCACGAAGAAAAAAAATCGGAAAAAATTCAACACTCAAGCCGGCACCGAATTTTTTTTTTATGTTTTTAAGAAAGTGCATTTAGCTCTGCATTTTTATTCATATTCATTTTTATTATTACCTTTTTGTTTTATTTAACAACAAACGACGAAAATTGTTTGAAAAAATTGAATTGAAACTTTGCAATTCAAGTTGAAAAATTTGTAAACCACACTTGGTTATTGGTAGGAGGCGACGAGGCAATAGACTGACTAAAAATGCAACCGCACCGATTGACTGCCGAAAGAGGAATGAACAAACGACAGAATGCCAGTTACAGCTATTTCAAGCGCTGCTTCAAGCGACGTCGTCGTCGTCGTCGTGATATCTGTGCGAGCGCGCCGCTGCTCTGCCAGCTCGCTCGCACGCCATCTATGCTGGCGCATGCGTGCGATAGAGAGCGCACGATTAGCGCGCTTGGCTTGCCAACTTTTGTGACCATATATGGTCATGTTTCGAAGCGAATCGTCGTGAAGGAGAGCTGGAAATTGTCGCCGCTTTCGCTCTCTCACGCGCTGTAGTGTGGCAACGGCGACGTCGATGGCAAAACCAACGGTTGACAATGTTGAAGGTTTTCTCCATTTTAGCGCGGCTCATTAAAAAAAACCGGCATTTTTGCATTCAAGAAATGCCGAATAACTTTAATGACGTGATTCTTTGACTATATCTAGCCAACTTGCCTACGTCACTTGCTCCGTGAGCTGTACACACATGCACAATGTACAAATATAAAAATATACCATATATTAATATATATACATACATATATCCACATGTATATATATACATATATATTTCTACATTTTTGTGCATGTGTTTGAATTTGTTTTGTCTTCAATTTGGCCGTTACTTTTCAAATTGTTTGCCATGAAAGTTAATTGAAGCGTGGGAAAAAAAGAAAGTGTTTGCGAATTGAATTGCAAATAACTGAAAAAAAACTGTCACCACTTGTTTCTTTGATATGCTCTTCTTCTTTTCAAGTTTTATTGGAGTTTTCGAAATTCGCAAAGGGCACGCCCCATCACTTGATCTATCGCACATATAAACACAGCTACAGCTGCATAAATATGTGTTGGGTGCGTGTGCGTGTATATGCTATTTGCATTCTTCTTCTGCTAGCTTCTAGCGCTTACGAAATAAGCTTTTATATCTTATCGATTCACAAATTGTTTGTGATAACAAAATTGTTGAGTTGTTTTTTCCACAAGCGCGTGACTTTTATTTTTGTTTGATATCAGTGTGATACTGGTTTGGTTTTTGGTATTTTGATTACGTTTTTCGATTTCAATTATCTGATGGTCAATTTTATTGACGTTATCTCACATATTCCACAAGCACTTGTATAAAAAAAATTGGTTTATTTAAAAAAAATATATATGTATATATTGCAGAATAATATACTCTATTCACGATTTTTTATTGCAGTTTGTAAAGTGTATTGATTTTTGTTGTAGGATTTGTTTGGCTGGATTGCTTGGTACTGATGTAAATATACTTACATTTGGTCTGTTTTGATTAAAATTAATTAAATAAATATAAATTAAGTCTTTCGGTTTTGTGTGTCTTTCGTGTAGACGACTTTAGCTGGCTGCTTTAAGCGGTTTTGTGTCGGGAGGTGTATTCCACACTGCACAAGAACTCAAACTGTAATGACATGAAAACTGGTCGGCGTTTGCCGTTTTATAAAGCCCGGTATCCGTCCATCCCAACCGGCACAGTAACTTAGCGCCTTATCAGCGCCACTTACACACTTCTCCAGCCTGGCTAGCGTTTTACCATATATGGTATGAATTCAATTTTTACCCCGTTGCCAGCGATAGTGTGTGTGTGCTGCCCCGTATCTGTGTGCGCCTATACATGTCTCTCTACATACACCAACGAACCTGTGTGCGTTTGCGCCTGTATAAACGTATACGTGTGTGTGTGTGTGTGTACCTATGCGTGTTCATATGCTGCTCACAAAGAGTATGAAACAGCATATTTCCCTACTTCGGGTGTGACGGCCATCAGATTGCGTCATTTTGTCGAACGTTTTGCAGCATGCAGCAAAGTGCGTAAGCTTCGATTATGTTTGTGACTCTTAATCAAAATTATCTCAAATACAGATAGCGAAATACAAATAAATTTATATAATATATAAGTTGCGTACAATTAAAGTATTTTTCAATTCTTTCTTGTAAGCACAACTACAATTATTTGACCCTCTGAAAATTTTTCATATGAACCTTCCTTCAACCCAAATTGTAATAACAGTATGATTTTGAGTCATTAGATGTCCTTGTCTAACAACTGCAATTCAACAAGACAACTTATTTGAAATTATGGGCATTATCTGATGCAAAATAGAAATGCAGGGTCTTCATTAGTCGACATAGTTATCTAGTTTTAAAGCTCGGTTTATAGCAATAACGGCGCCAGCCCAAAACAGCTGCCAGTTGATGCGTCAACCGCGCGTTTGCGCAAAAGAGACGGAGGCACACTCAGTCATACACACACACACTAACTTACATAGAATTACGCTCGCTCATTCACTTGCTGGTGCTCAGCGTAATGCTGACTCAACTTTACTCTGAGTCGTTTATGGCTTGTTTTACTAGATTTTGAAAAGGTATTTTTAAAAATTGACTAGTGCTAAATGATTAAATAATAGTTCTTATCATTATTGACAACTATTTATAATATTTCATAGATTAAATTCTGTATAAGACATATTTACAGACTGCTAATTGCATTGAAAAAGCCGCTCTCTCTGTCTCTCTCTCTCTCTCTCTTTCTTTGTATCTCTTGCAACAGTGTTAAAAGTGAAAGAGTGCAGTGCGAGTGGTTGTCAGACTCAAAGAGGGGAAAGCTGCATAAAACATGCAGCATACATAAGTATGTATGCATGCATGTATGAGTGTATGCAACCACATGCATATATACATATAAATGAGCAAGTGTGCGGTTGAGTGTTTGTGGCTGTGTAAGTATTCGTTCAAATCGCTCTGAGTTTTTGTAACGGCAATTGCTCATACATGGCTAGCGGACGCATTCTTCTATAGGCAATCGTGTATATTTACTATTGCCGGTTGACTAATCATTGTTTAAATAATTGCCTATTTTGAATTAAAATGACGCACAAATAGCTAGAAAATATCAAAAGCAACCGCTTTAGCACGCAACAAACACATACATTGATGCACGTGCACACAACATACACACTCAAACATAGCAACAACGAGCAGCATCACAAAAAAAGTGAGACAACGCGAGTGAGAACGAGAGAGGCTTACGCAGGCGTGCTCTCTCACGAACAGCTTTGAAAAGAAAACAACAAATGTTTGCGTTTTGGGGTACGGTGGCCAAAGGAGTGGCAAAAAAAATGACGTTGCCAGTCGCAGCCCCAGCGCCGCAGCTCCATTCGATCACATTGCATTTCTATCTACATACATATATATGTATATACGTATATATATATACTTATGAATGTGTTTGTGTATGTATTTGCCGTCACTTGATTCGTGTACATGTATGTACATACATGTATGTATATATGTATGTATTTTTGAAGAAATCGAACGTTGAGCTAGCTGATTGTGTTGGGCCACTGTTCGTGGAATTGTTCAAGGCAGACGCTCAATTTGATATGGGAGCTGTCGTAATTTCATATTTTAACTGAATAACTGAAGAAATTCTCATGGTGTTAACTGCTATTCGCTAACGTCAGCATTCGCAGCATTCCAATCAGCTTGTTCTTTTTGCTCTGCTTTCGTAGATAAGCATACATCCACACATACATACAAACAGACATACATGCGGCACATACCCTACATATCGTTAGCCGGTTTTGATGGCTATTGAATGTATTATATTTCTTCTATCTTTTGCTCTTTGTTTCTTTTACAGTAATGTTATATTTTATATCATAATGATTATGTATTTGCATGTATGTCTATACTTCGTGAATCCGTTTTTTAAATTAACTTAGAAACATTTTCCATGAAGCGCATTTGCTTTAGACTTCACCTTTGCCTAGGAAAGTGCAGCTAGATATATGCATACATATATACATATATGTTTACATGTATTCTTTCAGTTCTTAGAGGTTTTAATTAGTGTGTGAATATAGTTATGTATGTGTGTATGTTTGTATGCACAGAGACAGATGAGTTGCGACCTTGTCACTGGCAAAGGGGGAGTCAAGGGAGGCTGGTGTATGTCTGTGCGTACACACAGCTGGCTTGATTAAAACTAGAAATAATTAAATGGCCAAAAACGGCGAATTGACGTAGCCGATGACTTTGAAATGGCTGCGTTCACAGACATCAACAACAACGACAACAAACAGCAATATCAACAACAACAAAAGCTACTACACAAGAGCCATGATCAATGACCTTTCTCCAAAAAGTTTGAAGCTCGTCACGTTTTCTACACACACACAGTGAGTGAGAGAGAGCGAGAGAAGCACGCACGCACTCACGCACACTGTAAAAGAGCAGAGTGAAAAGGGGGTACACAAAACTCGCACAGCCGCCACACTGCAGCTATATGTATGTGTGTGTGTACACATACACGCAGAGAACTCTGTAACCATAAAGAGCGCAGAGCTTAGGCTCAAAGCTGAAGCTCGCGAGTCAAAGCCAAAGCCAAAGCCATAGCCGAAGCCATTGTCAAGGTCATTGAATGAGAAAATTTTTACGTTTTTTGCAATTAATTTGGCATTTTACGCGCGTATTTGGTATTAAGATGTGCATTGCCTCCCGCTCTTCTCTCTCCACTCGCTCGTCAAGTGCACTTGCAGTCGTAGAGTTGTTTCGTCGCTTTTGGTCACGCTGCAAAAGTTGCACATTTTCTCTACAACTTTTGTATAGATGACTTATTTTGTTTTTTTTTTTTTTTTTTTTTTTTTGGACAGACGCAGCGGCAGGTATGACCAGTTGTGACCATGATAAAAACAAAAACGTGCACCAAAAATCGCATTGATTGTCTGCTTAATTAGAGTGCAAACGTTTAATTGCCATCTAGGCGCCATTTAAAGTGGGATCAAGCTAAACATATCAATTGTCAATCAACTTTTGTTATGATAATTGCCATATTTCAGATTAATATCAAACGCTCATAGGCTCCATAAAGTGGAGAGTTAGCGAAACACTCCTGTCTATATGCATATGTGTGTGTGAGCACTTTCCATAACATTTCAAGCATGCCTTTACGAAATGCTTGTTTCAGACAATGGTAGAACTAATAGAGAGCAAGAGAGAGAGAGA